TTACCTTACTGTACCTATAACCTTACTGTACCTATTACCTTAGTGTACCTATTACCTTACTGTACCTATTACCATACTGTACCTATTACCCTACTGTACCTATTACCTTACTGTATTACCTTACTGTACCTATTACCTTACTGTACCTATTACCATACTGTATTACCATTCTGTACCTATTACCTTACTTTACCTATTACCTTACTGTACCTATTACCATACTGTACCTATTACCTTACTGTACCTATTACCTTACTGTACCTATTACCATACTGTACCTATTACCATACTGTACCTATTACCTTACTGTACCTATTACCTTACTGTACCTATTACCATACTGTACCTATTACCATACTGTACCTATTACCTTACTGTACCTATTACCTTACTGTACCTATTACCATACTGTACCTATTACCATACTGTACCTATTACCTTACTGTACCTATTACCTTACTGTACCTATTACCATACTGTACCTATTACCATACTGTACCTATTACCTTACTGTACCTATTACCTTACTGTACCTATTACCATACTGTACCTATTACCATACTGTACCTATTACCTTACTGTACCTATTACCATACTGTACCTATTACCATACTGTACCTATTACCTTACTGTACCTATTACCTTACTGTACCTATTACCATACTGTACCTATTACCTTACTGTACCTATTACCTTACTGTACCTATTACCATACTGTACCTATTACCTTACTGTACCTATTACCTTACTGTACCTATTACCATACTGTACCTATTACCATAATGTACCTATTACCATACTGTACCTATTACCTTACTGTATTACCATACTGTACCTATTACCATACTGTACCTATTACCATACTGTACCTATTACCTTACTGTATTACTTTACTGTACCTATTACCATACTGTACCTATTACCATACTGTACCTATTACACAATTCTAATGGTGCAATTGTGTATGAGTGTTATGCTCATCTTCCCTTAGAGATGAGTGGACTTTTACATACATGTACAAGTGGTAAAGTTTATTTCCGTTTGATTTTTTAACAAACTAATTTTTGTCTTCATTTTCTAATGCTGCTAGCGCTGGGGACTGCCTTTCTTGGCTGAATTGTCTAGAAGTTGTTTAGAATCAATGCAGACTTGACATCCTTGTAGCACAAGGCGATGATTTGTTTCTATTTGTTACTTATGAGTGAGACATAGGAGATGTTGATGTGATAAAACACGCAGAGGAAACCGGACAATGAGAAAAACAGATACCCGCTGATTAGGGGATGTTTCTTTATAGGTTAAACATTCTAGGTTAAAGCGCGGAATTAAATCTGTTTATGTACTTGGTTAAAGTGTCCTTGATCATGAGATGACATTATATGTATTGGACTAGGTTGTCCTACCCAGTGTTGGGGCGTACAGGTATCAACAGGTGTTCTCTCTGTACGGTCTGTTTACCTGACAATGACATGTCCATTTCCAGTGGAAAGCCGTATCGGTAGCCGGTGGATCCCGGACATCTGTCAAATCTTTAACTGTTTGCGACAGTGTCGCTTCCCTGCACCGCCGAAGGGGAGCGTATATTGCCTTTATTGGTGTTAATTTATATTTAAGTACAGTAATAACTGACCACTCGACCGCTCGTGCTAAAGGTAACAGTATTGATGGCCGTCCTAATTGTTTTTATACAGATCTAGTTTTATGATGCTATAAAACTAGATGGAACTGTGTGATTTTAATAGTCTGCTCTCGCATGCAGTGATAAGGCTTTCTGAATAGTTAAGTAACAGTACTTACTTGCCTATCAGTTTTTGGAGTTAGTTCATGTAAACTCTATTTTTCTTTCAGTAAGATACCAATCTCCATGGATGGAGCGATTGCTGACTGTGTTTTGTTTTATCTATGGTTGTAAAGTGATATACATGTGAACAAGTTTTTACTATTGTCACTGAGATACCATTGACATAACAATGAACGAGACGCTTTGTAAAGACGTACGGCGCGGTTTAAAAGCGACATATTTCTTGTGTTAGGTGTAAGGTTAAAAATTACCGGCGAGAGACCGGAAGTTAACTACATGTACTCACAAGCCTTTCCAGCGTCATTCCTATTTGATTTGCTCAAAATCACCAACAGAATAAGTTCTTTACGAACAAATGAAGACTTCTTCATTACATCAGTGACTCGTTATTATTGTTGCGGACACCTGGGATATAGTATGTATTACAGTTGGCCATTTTCTTATTAAAATTTGATTTACAGATAAACGTCAGAGTACTGTCTTCATAACATATTATTCATATCTCTCAAGTATCTGTCCTCCAAAAGTATCTGGAATGCATCTCCAAGCAACAAAGCTGACAGGACCAGATTCATTCTTACAAAGATCAATTAGGAAGTTGAATAATTTACATGAGGAAATTTATCTGGCTATGTTTTGAAGGCATTTGCAAATAATGACAAAATCGGGCCTTGCTGCGAGTGACGAAGCGTGTCGAGGCGTTGTGTATATATTTTACAAAGGCAGCAAAATTCAATACACAAAATATTGACCCCGTCTAATATTGTGGGAAAGCAGAACTATTGATTTTATCGCTATCAAAAAACACTTGATATAGCAAAAGGTTGCTTTAGTGTACGGTTACGCCATGTGCATACTTACACAGGTAGCTTACACTTAGGCGTGTTACATAACCGCCACTGAGTCATTCATCTTTTATCTGTCTATAAACCCAAACAAATAACAACTAGACGTATTTGTGTTATACTGTGAAAGGGTTATCAATGGGTTTGCGAGGGAGGATGCGTGTTTCTTTCCGTATGGTAGAATGGCTCTGAAAGAGGTTGCTTGTTTCTTTCCGTATAGTAGAATGGCTACGAGAGAGGATGCGTGTTTCTTTCATGATAATAATAATAATATCTTTTATTTAGGCCGGGTTACATATTAAGATTTACATCTAATTTACAATATAGCCCTGTAATACACAATTTACAATGGACATGGACATGGTACATTACAATGGCATCTATAATATAACTAAAAAATAACAATATCACATATGCAGATCCTGACAAGTTAAAGTATAAAACTATTCGTCACATTTAAAAGACTCTATACTACGTAAAATATGCAGTGAGATTTCTTAATTATAAATCTTTCCGTATGGTAGAATGGCTTTGGGACAGGATGCGTGTTTCTTTCTGTATGGCAGAATGGCTATGAGGCAAGGTGCGTGTTTCTTTCCGTAAAGTAGACTTGCTATGAGAGAGGATAGGTGTTTCTTTCCGTATAGTAAATAGCTATGAGAGAGGATATGTGTTTCTTTCCGTATAGTAAATAGCTATGAGAGAGGATAGGTGGTTCTTTCCGTATAGTAGACTTGCTATGAGAGAGGATAGGTGTTTCTTCCCGTATAGTAGACTTGCTATGAGAGAGGATATGGGTTTCTTTCCGTATAGTAAATAGCTATGAGAGAGGATAGGTGTTTCTTTCCGTATAGTAGACTTGCTATGAGAGAGGATATGTGTTTCTTTCCGTATAGTAAATAGCTATGAGAGAGGATAGTTGTTCTTTCCGTATAGTAGACTTGCTATGAGAGAGGATAGGCGTTTCGTTCCGTATAGTAAAATAGCTATGAGAGAGGATAGGTGTTTCTTTCCGTATAGTAAATGGCTATGAGAGAGGATAGATGTTTCTTTACGTATAGTAGACTTGCTATGAGAGAGGATAGGTGTTTCTTTCCGTATAGTAGGCTTGCTATGAGAGAGGATATGTGTTTCTTTCCGTATAGTAAATAGCTATGAGAGCGGATAGGTGTTTCTTTCCGTATAGTAAATAGCTATGAGAGAGGATAGGTGTTTCTTTCCGTATAGTAAATGGCTATGAGAGAGGATAGATGTTTCTTTCCGTATAGTAGACTTGCTATGAGAGAGGATAGGTGTTTCTTTCCGTATAGTAAATGGCTATGAGAGAGGACGCGTGATTTATAGTTTTGGAATTGTATTACCTCTACCTTATTACTACTGTACTAGACTTTTTATTATAGATAATATTTCAGCTGTTATATCATACATCTATTGTTTCGTGTTCTATTTGATTATCCTACTAAATAAAATGTCATCGACCTAGATTGTTTTTACATGGAGGCAAGGTCTCATCCGTAATACACATTTTTAATATCAAAATCTGTAACAGCTTGGAAATAAAAATATTGTTTAAACCTACTAGTGTGTTACGACTTCAGGTTTCTCGCATATTATGGCAAGCCGTTTTAGCAAGAAATACTACTTCATCTTAATTTTTTTCACTTAATTAAAAAAAAATACAGGTAGTTTATTTACCTCAAGGTAAAAGCAATTCCATTTAAGTATATTAAACCTAACGTGGACTACATTGTGATATTAAATGTTAAAACGGCTTGCTATATCTTGTTATATCATATTGTCATATTTTACATATTTTCCTTGTTCTGATAAAATGTTCCCAAATATAAACTTAACTGTTATATATTTTTTCAATTGCTACAATGTATTGAGTGTATTCCTCGCAACTTGTGTGTAGTATAGGCGAAGGGAGATAACTCTCAAGTATAATAAACTATTTATACGTGCGCTCTATTGGTGGTAGTTCCGATGTATTTGATGCATATTCTATGATGTGAGTCGAGCTGCTCTTTCATTATCACAAGTACGGTGTATAGCATTTCGCTAATTTTTTACATGTTGGATCAATGTGAACATTTAACCAATGAAAATGTATGGCAGTCATGAATTGCCGCATTGCTGGTAACACAAGAACCGCCATTGTCGTAGACAGAACTCCCGACCACAAGATCCAGACAAAAAGGTTACCGGCGATTGCTAGATAACATCGGTTTGTGTATGTAATACGTATACCTTATCATCGTTATAATATTTGAAATTAAGTGTAAATCATACCTATACTATTTGGCTCCAGAGATGATGTATGCTAATATAAACATAAGTAAAAAGACAATAGGAATATTCTATCATTTATATACTTTGTTTACGATCTGCTGTATGTTATTTCCATATTTGGAATCATCGCTTGCATCTCTCTCCTAATCCTAACACAAACACAGATACGCTTCCTTGTTATGGCAAGAATCAATTCGTTCAACTCTAAAATGCAACGAGAAGATAATCTGACATCACAAACCCTGGTTGCGGCCGGTAGAATATTATATCAATACTAATACAATAGTTCGTGACAACGGTTGATCATGTTTCTCTTATAAACATACTGATCACCCTGGAATAAATATGTTGCGGTGCACACTCGATTCACGTTATTACTTCTCGGCCCGGATACTGGAGTATGAACTGCAGCGAGTCCATCAACTGAACGCCCCTTGTTGATGCTCAGCTAGCCCGTTCCCCGTCCGTCCCTGGCTGGTGACCAGCGAGTCAGTCACCTGTCCGTCCCTGGCTGGTGACCAGCGAGTCAGTCACCTATCTGTCCCTGGTTAGTGACCAGCGGGTCCGTCAATTGTCCGTCCCTGGCGGCTGTTGGCAAGCGAGTCAGTTACCTATGTGTCCCTGGCTGGTGACCAGCAGGTCAGTCACCTGTCCGTCCCTGGCTGGTGACCAGCGGGTCCGTCACTTGTCCGTTCCTGTTTGCTGACCAGCGAGTCAGTCGCCTATCTGTCCCTAACTAGTGACCAGCGAGTCAGTCACCTGTCCGTTCCTGGCTGATGACCAGCGAGTCCAGTTGACACCGAAGTCCTTCATCCCAATAATGTGACATCACGCCTAAAACCACTAATCTGGTTTAACAAATTTTGCAAATTTCCAACGTTGCTAACTTATATGATGTGTCATATATTAATAGAAATACTGGTTGTGCTTTAAATATCATATGACTAACCTTTTAATATAGCGGCCTAGTACTTACTAACTACCAGAGACTTCAGTCATACTGAGCTGTTTCTAACAACTAACCCCTTGCATCGGTTACGTCATAGAGTAGTCTCAAGATCGATGATTCCGGTCACAGCTGATGAATTATTTGTACGGATCCATTATTTGAGTACATCACATACATGTATAGTTATACGTATTCGGAACATTCTATATAACTATTGTAGCCTCCAGCACATGTTTTTTAAAAACAGAAATGAAAATTGGACCGTATACTTCTGGTGCATAACGAGTTTATACTGCCTAACACGCACGCATTTTTATATTTATGGAATAAAATCCACGTGAAAATACTCTGCAAAACACTTTTGGACTGTTATGTACATGTATTTATACATTCACAACCCTTGACTCAAACATTTTCGATCATTTGTCTGTCTATACATTCATGACTATCATTTAACAAGCACCCATCCATCTGTTCTGTTATTGCATGTTCAACAAAATGCTTTCAATTTCTAAAAATAAAGAGGCTCGAAATTGTATCCAGCCTGCATGATTCCAACGGTTATGCACTTTGTGGTAGCCCAGTGACGTGTTTCATATCCCTCCGCTCGAAATTACATATTCTTCCGCGATGTCATAACATAAATCCCATTCGCTGCCTCTTGCTTCTGTCCCGGAAGTACGACATTATAGGATTTTTTATACCGATTTCCTCCAGGTCCGTATCTTTGAGACGAGAAAACCGTTTACCGTCCATCTTTTTACGTTTTAAACGTTGGATAATTAATTCGTCAACTTTCATACAGCGGAAGAATACACTCATCTCGTCTACAGAGAAATTCTGTAGATTTCCGTCCCCTGGGATTTGTATGCTCCTCGGCGTGTCCGGAACTACTCCTCCTAGTAAACAAACGACACGTCAATTAGATACGACTAACACAATTTTAAGTCACGCAAAAAAATGTGGTCTTTTGAGAAAAATGCACAGAATTTACACCACTAAGATCAACGAATCCCTGATACCCATTGCAGTGGTTCGTTGATCCCTAGCAGTATAATCAGGTAAGCAAGAAAATACGTTGAAGAAACCGCTACACCATAACAATACCCAAATACGACAATTAGGCGTTTAATGCTTATGGCGTCTTGGGAAATTGAGCCTCAGCTAAAAGAGCGCCTCCCTTACTAGCCTTGGAGTAATAGTACCTACTGTTTCGAAATTGCATTCATTAGGTTAGTTCCGTCTTTTCACGAGCCCTGAGCGAGCAATTAAAGAAGTTAGACTTATCTTGTCACACTCCTTGACAGAACAATAAGACCGTCTTGTGACAGACCTAGACAAAACAGTTACACAGCGTACTGTGACAGACCTAGATAACACAGTTACACCGCGTCTTCTGACAGACATAGACAATACAGTTACACAGCGTCTTATGACAGACCTTGACAATACAATTACACAGCGTCCTATGACAGACCTTAACACTACATTTACACAGCGTCCTATGACAGACATTGACAATACAGTTACACAGCGTCCTATGACAGACCTTGACACTACAGTTACACAGCGTCCTATGACAGACCTAGACACTACAGTTAAACAGCGTCCTATGACAGACCTAGACACTACAGTTAAACAGCGTCCTATGACAGACCTAGACACTACAGTTTCACAGCGTCTTATGACAGACATTGACAACACAGTTACACAGCGCCCTATGACAGACTTAGACAATACAGTTACACAGCGTCTTATGACAGACCTAGACACTACAGTTACACAGCGTCCTATGACAGACCTAGACACCACAGTTACACAGCGTCGTATGACAGACATTGACAACACAGTTACACAGCGTCCTATGGCAGACTTAGACAATACAGTTACACAGCGTCTTATGACAGACCTTGACAATACAGTTACACAGCGTCCTATGACAGACCTTGACAATACCTTTACACAGCGTCCTATGACAGACCTTGACACTACAGTTACACAGCGTCCTATGACAGACCTTGACACTACAGTTACACAGCGTCCTATGACAGACATCGACAATACATTTACACAGCGTCCTATGACAGCCCTTGACACTACATTTACACAGCGTCTTATGACAGACCTTGACAATACAATTCCACAGCGTCCTATGACAGACCTTGACACTACAGTTACACAGCGTCCTATGACAGACCTTGACACTACATTTACACAGCGTCCTATGACAGACCTTGACACTACAGTTACACAGCGTCCTATGACAGACATCGACAATACATTTACACAGCGTCCTATGACAGCCCTTGACACTACATTTACACAGCGTCTTATGACAGGCCTTGACAATCCAATTACCCAGCGTCCTATGACAGACGTTAACACTACATTTACACAGCGTCCTATGACAGACCTTGACAATACCTTTACACAGCGTCCTATGACAGACCTTGACACTACATTTCCACAGCGTCTCATGACAGACCTTGACACTACATTTACACAGCGTCTTATGACAGGCCTTGACAATCCAATTACCCAGCGTCCTATGACAGACGTTAACACTACATTTACACAGCGTCCTATGACAGATATTGACAATACAGTTACACAGCGTCCTATGACAGACCTTGACACTACAGTTACACAGCGTCCTATGACAGACCTTGACACTACATTTCCACAGCGTCTCATGACAGACCTTGACACTACATTTACACAGCGTCTTATGACAGGCCTTGACAATCCAATTACCCAGCGTCCTATGACAGACGTTAACACTACATTTACACAGCGTCCTATGACAGACATTGACAATACAGTTACACAGCGTCCTATGACAGGCCTTGACAATACAATTACACAGCGTCCTATGACAGACCTTAACACTACATTTACACAGCGTCCTATGACAGACCTTGACAATACAGTTACACAGCGTCTTATGACAGACCTAGACAACACAGTTACACAGAGTCTCGGGAGATAAGCTCCAACCAATGATTAACAGTTTATTTGTAAATAACAACTAATAATCTTCTACTAATGAACATCAAACAATTATCGACAGTTAACATCATAACCTATACTCATCAGCTAGTCCAAATTCACAACACACTGAACTCATATTGTCCAATAAATAATCACCTTGAGCAAACTTCTAGTTTGTTCAAATGACGTCACTATTTGCAAATATTTTATTTCCATCACCCTCCCTATTTTTTCCCCACTCAATACAAATAAACTAAATTGAAAAGAGAATGACTGATGAATGTTTAATGAGAACCCTCCTGCGTGAGGACACCATATTGTTCAGGGGCTGACTCCAGGGCTCCCTAACCCTTGAAGCCCCTATCAAAATATGCATATATGTATATACATATATCTGTGCTTGGAAGCAGTATAAATACTGTATATACATATTTATGAAAAAAATGGCTGGGGGAATAAAATATTTGGAAAAAGAACAATCAGACTAGTACACCAATTGTTGTCACCACCAACACCAGACAAGTACATCAAATGACGCCACAAACAACATCAGACTAGTACAACAAATGGCGTCACAAACAACATCAGACTAGTACACCAAATGAAGTCACAAACAACATCAGACTAGTACACCAAATGGCGTCACAAACAACATCAGACTAGTACACCAAATGACGTCACAAATAACAGCAGACTAGTACACCAAATGACGTCACAAACAACATCAGACTAGTACAACAAATCGCGTCACAAACAACATCAGACTAGTACACCAAATGACGTCACAAACAACATCAGACTAGTACACCAAATGACGTCACAAATAACATCAGACTAGTACAACAAATGACGTAACAAACAACATCAAACTAATACAACAAATGGCGTCACAAACAACATTAGACTAGTACACCAAATGACGTCACAAACAACATCAGACTAGTACAACAAATGACGTAACAAACAACATCAGACAAGTACAACAAATGACGTCACAAACAACATCAGACTAGTACACCAAAATGACGTCACAAATAGCATCAGACTAGTACTCCAAATGACGTAACAAACAACATCAGACAAGTACAACAAATGACGTCACAAACAACATCAGACTAGTACACCAAATGACGTAACAAACAACATCAGACAAGTACACCAAATGACGTAACAAACAACATCAGACAAGTACAACAAATGACGTCACAAACAACATCAGACTAGTGCACCCAACGTGTCACCAACTATAAATGTGACCGCGACTGCGAAGATGGAGCCAGATGAGGTTAAAATCAGAAATTGACATTTTTATGTTTTCTGAAAGCCCACAATGTGAGAAAGAAAATTCCAAAATATTAGCGACTAATCCATTTCCATTGCGAAGTTAAATATATTCAAAACAGCTAACAACTGCAAAATTTGGTATGTATCGTTCATAACCACTATCAACAGAACATATTGAAATTATTTACAATAAAAAGGAGATAACTGGTGGATAAAACTTAATAGTAGAACTAAGTTGTCTAAGTCTCAATGGTATACATATGTAAAGTCAATCCGTATATTATGATCCTACAAACTGCCGAATGGTTGAGTTAAAAAAGTATATAGGTATTAGCTAACAAGATTAACAAGTATTACATTTGAAAAAAAAAGTTTTCACCACCAAGAAGGTTAACACAATAAAGGGAGATAAACATTCGATTCATAATTTGTTTTAAAATCACAATTTTGTTTTGCATTGCTTTAATAATTGTCATTCAGCTATTATCCAAGTCAGGTTGGTGGACTAACTGGGTTATTTAATTTAGAGCTCTGTCAAGTTATCAACATTAAGATGAATTAGTCATATAGAATATACAATAAAGGGAGATAATCTACAATCACACATATTTTTTTTGAAATGCTGATAATACACAATTTGCAACATTCGCATTCAGTGTCGTGAAATAAGTGATTGATCTTTGATTTAGAATAAGTTTGGATATATTTGCCACACCAGCAGGTCAGATACTACTTACTAGTAATGTAAAATATCTTAAATTATCAATACCAATATACACACATGATACAACAACAGTATTTTTGGAATAGTCATCTCTTTTGACTTAGGTCTCTCAGTATATTAGGGCACATTTTCAAACATAATAAATTACCCAAATAATGCAAGTTAAATTGCGATGTCACATCAACATTGTAGGTACATGAAATCATTGCAACATACCAAAAGTGGATCGTATATAAAAAAAAAACAGAATTTCAAACTCGTTCCCATTACAAATGTTACATATAATATTCATGAAACTGAAGCTTGTTTCATAAAACTAGTATAAAATATTATGAGAATGAGTTAAATATTCCAACCACGTACAGAATTTATGGGAAAATATGTCTCGTGACTTTAAACGGCTTTTTCTCATAATGACGTCAGTTGCATTTCTCCCTATTTTCGTAGTCGCAGTATTATAAGGCTAAAATATCAAATGCCAATAGGCTATTGCCAGTGCACCTAATAGAAGTAGACTGGTATACACACTTAACATTACTATTGTTACCAGTATAAACACTTAACATTGACATCGTTACCAGTATACACACTTAACATTACCATTGTTACCAGTATACACACTTAACATTACTATTGTTACCAGTATACACACTTAACATTATTATTGCTACCAGTATACACACTTAACATTACTATTGTTACCAGTATACACACTTGACATTAGTATTGTTACCAGTATACACACTTAACATTACTACTGTTACCAGTATACACACTTAACATTACTATTGTTACCAGTATAAACACTTAACATTAGTATTGTTACCAGTAAACACACTTAACATTACTACTGTTACCAGTATACACACTTAACATTACTATTGTTACCAGTATACACACTTAACATTACTATTGTTACCAGTATACACACTTAACATTACTATTGTTACCAGTATACACACTTAACATTACTATTGTTACCAGTATACACACTTAACATTACTATTGTTACCAGTATACACACTTAACATTACTATTGTTACCAGTATACACACTTAACATTACTATTGTTACCAGTATACACACTTAACATTACTATTGTTACCAGTATACACACTTAACATTACTATTGTTACCAGTATACACACTTAACATTACTATTGTTACCAGTATACACACTTAACATTACTATTGTTACCAGTATACACACTTAACATTACTATTGTTACCAGTATACACACTTAACATTACTATTGTTACCAGTATACACACTTAACATTACTATTGTTACCAGTATACACACTTAACATTACTATTGTTACCAGTATACACACTTAACATTACTATTGTTACCAGTATACACACTTAACATTACTATTGTTACCAGTATACACACTTAACATTACTATTGTTACCAGTATACACACTTAACATTACTATTGTTACCAGTATACACACTTAACATTAGTATTGTAACCAGTATACACACTTGACATTAGTATTGTTATCAGTAAACGCACTTAACATTACTCTTCTTACCAGTATACACATTTAACATTACTACTGTTACCAGTATAAACACTTGACATTACTACTGTTACCAGTATACGCACTTAACATTACTACTGTTACCAGAATACGCACTTAACATTACTATATTGTTACAAGTATACACACTTAACATAAGTATTGTTACCAGTAAACGCACTTAACATTACTCTTCTTACCAGTATACACACTCTTAACATTAGTATTGTTACCAGTATACACACTTAACATTAGTATTGTCACCAGTATACACACTTAACAATAGTATTGTTACCAGTAAACACACTTAACATTACTACTGTTACCAGTATACGCACTTAACATTACTATTGTTACCAGTATACACACTTAACATTACTATTGTTACCAGTATACACACTTAACATTACTATTGTTACCAGTATACACACTTAACATTACTATTGTTACCAGTATACACACTTAACATTACTATTGTTACCAGTATACACACTTAACATTACTATTGTTACCAGTATACACACTTAACATTACTATTGTTACCAGTATACACACTTAACATTACTATTGTTACCAGTATACACACTTAACATTACTATTGTTACCAGTATACACACTTAACATTACTATTGTTACCAGTATACACACTTAACATTACTATTGTTACCAGTATACACACTTAACATTACTATTGTTACCAGTATACACACTTAACATTACTATTGTTACCAGTATACACACTTAACATTACTATTGTTACCAGTATACACACTTAACATTACTATTGTTACCAGTATACACACTTAACATTACTATTGTTACCAGTATACACACTTAACATTACTATTGTTACCAGTATACACACTTAACATTACTATTGTTACCAGTATACACACTTAACATTACTATTGTTACCAGTATACACACTTAACATTACTATTGTTACCAGTATACACACTTAACATTACTATTGTTACCAGTATACACACTTAACATTACTATTGTTACCAGTATACACACTTAACATTACTATTGTTACCAGTATACACACTTAACATTACTATTGTTACCAGTATACACACTTAACATTACTATTGTTACCAGTATACACACTTAACATTACTATTGTTACCAGTATACACACTTAACATTACTATTGTTACCAGTATACACACTTAACATTACTATTGTTACCAGTATACACACTTAACATTACTATTGTTACCAGTATACACACTTAACATTACTATTGTTACCAGTATACACACTTAACATTACTATTGTTACCAGTATACACACTTAACATTACTATTGTTACCAGTATACACACTTAACATTACTATTGTTACCAGTATACACACTTAACATTACTATTGTTACCAGTATACACACTTAACATTACTATTGTTACCAGTATACACACTTAACATTACTATTGTTACCAGTATACACACTTAACATTACTATTGTTACCAGTATACACACTTAACATTACTATTGTTACCAGTATACACACTTAACATTACTATTGTTACCAGTATACACACTTAACATTAGTATTGTTACCAGTATACACACTTAACATTACTATTGTTACCAGTATACACACTTAACATTACTATTGTTACCAGTATACACACTTAACATTACTATTGTTACCAGTATACACACTTAACATTACTATTGTTACCAGTATACACACTTAACATTACTATTGTTACCAGTATACACACTTAACATTACTATTGTTACCAGTATACACACTTAACATTACTATTGTTACCAGTATACACACTTAACATTACTATTGTTACCAGTATACACACTTAACATTACTATTGTTACCAGTATACACACTTAACATTACTATTGTTACCAGTATACACACTTAACATTACTATTGTTACCAGTATACACACTTAACATTACTATTGTTACCAGTATACACACTTAACATTACTATTGTTACCAGTATACACACTTAACATTACTATTGTTACCAGTATACACACTTAACATTACTATTGTTACCAGTATACACACTTAACATTACTATTGTTACCAGTATACACACTTAACATTAGTATTGTTACCAGTATACACACTTAACATTACTATTGGTACCAGTATACACACTTAACATTACTACTGTTAACAGTATACACACTTAACATTACTACTGTTACCAGTATACACACTTAACATTGCCATTGTAACCATTGCCATTGGCTAATAGATACCCCATCACTTCAGGAGGGAACTATGCTTTTGTACAGCTGTACAGATTGAAAGATAACATTTACAAAAGAAGCCCGATCAGATATAAAGGTGAAGCTGACCACAGCATGCTGGCTACTTACATTAACATTACCATACAATAACAATTACCTCCAGGCCAGATACTTACCCGCCATGTTACGGCTCTGCACACCCGTTCTAGTTACCGCCTTTATGTGGTAAGGATTTCACATAATGTCTCAGCTACCTCACATACATTTAAAACGTACATCTCGGCCTATCAAATTGAACTCAACTTTAAATTGTATTTTTATATCCTCGCCTAAGGTGTGCTGTTACTATACAACATATTCTAATGTACATATGTGGCTCCTAATGGGAGGTGGATTGTATCGCCTTCAATCACAAATTCCATTTAATATGTGCGCAAATATAGATTTAAAACACTCTCTCCTGATTTCCAAAATGCATCCTTTTAGATGAAATCACTAGATCAATGAATATATATATAGTTATGTATCGCAACCCTACCCAGCTGAAGCCCTCCTCTCTCTCTCTATTTTGATGTAGATAACTCACCCGGGGAGGGGGGCGGGGCTCCGTTCATCTCTGCGTCACCATTTACAGCAGGTTTACTGTCAATACAAAATACGGAAATGTCACTTCACAGAAAAAAACCAAAGATAGATGTGGATGGTCTTCTGAACGATCACGCATTCAAGCAGCATGTACATACTCGTGGTAGTCCCCTGGTGAACTAATTGAATTCCAGAACTATTCAGACTGTGGGTAACGTCTCGCTTTTTATTCTGTCTGTATACATTTATTTTCAGTCAATATCGGGATGGTGTCATTGGCATATATAACATAATCCTTCAACAAGAATCAATTGCGCAGGTGATAACTCATAACGTTATTTCATCAAAGCTTGTCACCTGCAACAGTTTACAGACAACCATTACAACAGTCTACAGACAAACACTACAACAGTTTACAGACAACCACTACAACAGTCTACAGACAACCACTACAACAGTTTACAGACAACCATTACAACAGTCTACAGATAACCACTACAACAGTCTACAGACATCCATTACAACAGTGTACAGACAACCACTACAACAGCCTACAGACTACAATTACAACAGTTTACAGACAACCATTACAACAGTCTACAGACAACCACTACAACAGCCTACATACAACCACAACAACAGTCTACATACAACCACTACAACAGCCTACATACAACCACTACACACTCCACAGACAACCACTACGACAGTTCATAGACAACCACTACAACAACCTACATACAGCCACTAAAACAGCCTACAGACAACCACTACAACAGTCCACAGACGTCCACTACAACAGTATACAAACCATAACTAAAACAATATATATACATTTATTACAAGAGTCTTCAGACAACAATAACAACAGCCTACATACAACCACTACAACAGTCCACAGACAACCACTACAACAGTCCACAGACATCCACTACAACAGTCCAGAGAAAACCACTACAATAGTTTACAGACATCAACTTCAACAGTCTACAGACAACTATTACAACTGGCTACAGACATACACTTCAACAGTCTACAGACAACCACTACAACAGTCTATAGACAACCACAAAATTAGTTCACAGACGTCCACTACAATAGTCTACAGACAACCACTACAGCGATTCACAAACAACCACTACAACAGTCCACAAACATCCACTACAACAGTCCACAGACTTCCACTACAACAATCCACAGAAAACCACTCGAACAGTCTACAGACAACCACTACATTGTACAACAGCCTACAGACAACCATTACAATGGTCAAAAGACATCCACTACAACAGCCTACAGACAACCACTACAACAGCCTACAGACAACCACTACAACAGTCTACAGACATCCACTACAACAGTCTACAGACAACCACTACAACAGTCTACAGACAACCACTACAACAACCTACATACAACCACTACAACAGTCTACAGACATCCACTACAACAGTCTACAGACAGCCACTACAACAATCCACAGAAAACCACTCGAACAGTCAACAGACAACCACTACAACAGTCCACAGACAACCACTACAACAGTCTACAGACATCCACTACAACAATCCACAGAAAACCACTCGAACAGTCAACAGACAACCACTACAGCAGTCCACAGACATCCAATACAACTGCCTACAGACAACCACTACAGCAGTCCAAAGACATCCACTACAACAGTCTACAGACATCCACTACAACAGTCCACTGACAATCACTACAACAGTTTACAGACATCAACTTCAACAGTCTACAGACAACTATTACAACTGGCTACAGACATACACTTCAACAGTCTACAGACAACCACTACAACAGTCTACAGATATCCACTACAACAGTCTACAGACAACCACTACAACAGTCTATAGACAACCACAATATTAGTTCACAGAAAATCACTACACCAGTCTACAGACAACCACTACAACAGTCTACAGACAACCACTACAACAGTCTATAGACAACCACAATATTAGTTCACAGAAAATCACTACACCAGTCTACAGACAACCACTACAACAGTCTACAGACAACCACAATATTCGTTCACAGACAACCACTACACCAGTCTACAGACAACCACTACAACAGTCTATAGACAACCACAATATTAGTTCACAGACGTCCACTACAATAGTCTACAGACAGCCACTACAGCGATTCACAAACATCCACTACAACAGTCCACAGACAACCACAATATTAGTTCACAGAAAATCACTACACCAGTCTACAGACAACCACTACAACAGTCACTACAGGAGTCAACAGATCGTTCACAGACAACCACTACAACAGTCTACAGATAACCACAATATTAGTTCACAGACGTCCACTACAATAGTCTACAGACAACCACTACAGCGATTCACAAACATCCACTACAACAGTCCACAGACATCCACTACATCAGTCTACAGACTTCCACTACAACAATCCACAGAAAACCACTCGAACAGTCTACAGACAACCACTACATTGTACAACAGCCTACAGACAACCATTACAATGGTCAACAGACATCCACTACAACAGTCTACAGACATCCACTACAACAGCCTACAGACAACCACTACAACAGTCTACAGACAACCACTACAACAGTCTACAGACAACCACCACAACAGTCTACAGACATCCACTACAATAATCCACAGAAAACCACTCGAACAGTCAACAGACAACAACTACAACAGCCTACAGACAACCACTACAACAGTCTACAGACATCTACTACAACAGTCTACAGACATCCACTACAACAGTCCACAGACAACCACTACAACAGTCCACTGACAATCACAACAACAGTCTACAGACATCCACTACAACAATCCACAGAAAACCACTTGAACAGTCAACAGACAACAACTACAACAGTCTACAGACATCCACTACAACAGTCTACAGACATCCACTACAACAATCCACAGAAAACCACTCGAACAGTCAACAGACAACAACTACAACAGTCCACAGACATCCACTACAACAGCCTACAGACAACCACTACAGCAGTCCACAGACATCCACTAAAACAGTCTACAGACAACCACTACAACAGTCCACTGACAATCACTACAACAGTTTATAGACATCAACTACAACAATCCACAGAAAACCACTCGAACAGTCAACAGACAACCACTACAGGAGTCAACAGATCTCCACTACAACAGTCCACGGACAACCACTACAACACAACAGTCTACAGACAACCACTACAACAGTCTACAGACATCCACTACAACAGTCCACGGACAACCACTACAACAGTCCACAGACAACCACTACAACCCTCTACATACAACCACTACAACAGTCCACGATAAACCACTACAACAATCTACAGACAACCACTACACCAGTCCACAGACAACCACTACAACAGTCTACATACAACCACTACAGCTGCCCACATACAACCACTACAACAGTCTACAGACAACCGCTACAACAGTCCACGGACAACCACTACAACAGACAGACAACAACTACAACAGTCCACAGACATCCACTACAACAGCCTACAGACAACCACTACAGCAGTCCACAGACATCCACTAAAACAGTCTACAGACAACCACTACAACAGTCCACGGACAACCACTACAACAGACAGACAACAACTACAACAGTCCACAGACATCCACTACAACAGCCTACAGACAACCACTACAACAGCCTACAGACAACCACTACACCAGTTTACAGACAACCACTACAACAGTCCACATACAACCACTACAACAGTCCACAGACAACCACTACAACAGTCTACATACAACCACTACAGCTGCCCACATACAACCACTACAACAGTCTACAGACAACCGCTACAACAGTCCACGGACAACCACTACAACAGTCAACAGACAACCACTACAACAGTCCACGGACAACCACTACAACAGTCTACAGACTACCACTACAACAGTCTACAGACAACCACTACAACAGCCTACAGACAACCACTACAACAGTCAACGGACAACCACTACAACACAACAGTCTACAGACAACCACTACAACAGTCTTCATACAACCACTACAACAGTCTACAGACAACCACTACCACAGTCCAAAGACAACCACTACACCAGTCTACAGACATCCACTACTACAACAGTCTACAGACATCCACTACAACAGTCCACAGACAACCACTACAACACTCTACATACAACCACCACAACAGTCCACGGAAAACCACTACAACAATCTACAGACAACCACTACAACAGTCCACAGACAACCACTACAACAGTCTACAGACATCCACTACAACAATCCACAGAAAACCACTTGAACAGTCAACAGACAACAACTACAACAGTCTACAGACATCCACTACAACAGTCCACGGACAACCACTACAACACAACAGTCTACAGACAACCACTACAACAGTCTTCATACAACCACTACAACAGTCTACAGACAACCACTACCACAGTCCAAAGACAACCACTACACCAGTCTACAATATCCACTACAACAGTCTACAGACAACCACTACAACACTCTACATACAACCACCACAACAGTCCACGGAAAACCACTACAACAATCTACAGACAACCACTACAACAGTCCACAGACAACCACTACAACAGTCTACATACAACCACTACAACAGTCTACAGACAACCACTACAACAGTCTACAGACAACCACTACAACAGTCCACAGACTCCACTCCAACAGTCCACAGACTCCACTCCAACAGTCCACAGACTCCACTACAACAGTCCACAGACAACCACTACAACACTCTACATACAACCACTACAACAGTCCACGATAAACCACTACAACAATCTACAGACAACCACTACAACAGTCCACAGACAACCACTACAACAGTCTACATACAACCACTACAGCAGTCCACATACAACCACTACAACAGTCTACAGACAACCGCTACAACAGTCCACGGACAACCACTACAACAGTCTACAGACAACCACTACAACAGTCTACATACAACCACTACAACAGTCTACAGACAACCACTACCACAGTCCACAGACAACCACTACACCAGTCTACAGACATCCACTACAACAATCCACATAAAACCACTCGAACAGTCAACAGACAACCACTACAGGAGTCAACAGACCTCCACTGCAACAGTCCATAGACAACCACTAAAACAAACCACTGACAACCACTACAACAGTACACAGTCAATCACTACAACAGTCCGCAGACAACCACTACATTAGTTTACAGACAACCACTACAACAGTCCACAGACTCCACTCCAACAGTCCACAGACAACCACTACAACAGTCCACAGACAACCACTACAACACTCTACATACAACCACTACAACAGTCCACAGAAAACCACTACAACAATCTACAGACAACCACTACAACAGTCCACAGACAACCACTACAACAGTCTACA